TAATGTTCTACTGACGATTAATTGCACACGATACGATTATGCCCAGCCCTAGTCTGAAGTCATCATGAAAGGAGCTACACTCTAAAAAAATAAGTGTTGAATTTACTCAACTATGTCAACTGGTTCCACTAAACCTAGTAGAGTGAAAATTAAGCAAAATACTTGTTTTCTTTTAAAAGAAAATATGTACTGTATAAAGCTCAATTTACTCAACTTGGTTTGATTCAGTAAATTTAACAATTTATTTCTCAGAGTGTGTGTAAAAGTACTTATATTTTCCCAATTTTTGTGAACAGTTTATGACTTTTACTACTTTTCTCATACATGAAACTTATTTTTACCAGATTTATTTTCTGTTGAGGTGTTTTTACTTCAACTTATTTTTTTCCAAGTACTTACAGACCTCAGCCAGGAGCTGCATTGCAAAAACTGTCCACCTAACCAAGTTTTAAAACCTTATATTCAGTCAAAAAGTCTTTTTGATCTTGTTTTGTAACTGATTTACTAAACAAGAACTGATTGTGTAAGAATAATAATCTTGTTTTCAGAATGTGTAAGATTATTTGTCTTGTTAGTCTGAAAATCTGACTCAAATTAAGTGAAAATTTTCTGCCAATGGAGTAAGAAAATTTACTTGCTAAGATTCTTGAAATACTCGATTTGACTCAATTTTTTCTTATTTCAAGAATCTTACCAAGTAAAATTTTCTTACTCCATTGGCAGAATTTTTTGACTAAATTTGAGTCAAAATTTCAGACTAACAAGACAAATAATCTTACACATTCTGAAAACAAGATGATTATTCTTACACAATCAGTTCTTGTTTAGTAAATCAGTCTCAAAACAAGATCAAAAAGATTTTTTAGCTGGATATAAGATTTAAAAACTTGGTAAGATGGACCGTTTTGAAGTGTGTAGCAAGTGATGCTAACAGGAAGCTAGCTTCCATGATTCAGTCACTGTGTTGCTTCAAACAGGAGGATTAAACTGTGTTTTAGTGTAAACTGATGAGGAGAGCTAAAATCTTGGCTCACAGCTGATGATCAGCTGAAGGAGGATGAATCTCTCAGGTTCTGGTCAGGTCTTTGATGGATTTTTATTTCTTGTTTCTCAAAAATATGACTTTCAGGTATTTGATTGTGGTTTGACCCTTCTTTTGTCTTCCACTTGTCCATGATTTTCATTTTTAAGCTGCTCGATATGCTGTGAAATTAAACAAACATCCACAGTCTAAAGAAAAACTTCCAAAGCCTCTGGAACCAGCCGACTGCACAAGCTTCCTTTAAAAAGTTCACCAGGAAAGAAAAGAGAAATCCTAAAGCAAATTCTAAAACAACTGCAGAGTGACTCAAGATTTCTGCACAGAAGCATCGACTTCCTGCTAAAACATTTCAGCCCCAAAACAAACTGCAGAGGTTCTGAAAGATCCAGCTGTCAGTCTTTCTGTCACGAGCTAAAAGCCAACTTTTCAGGGAGTTGTTTCAAGTGTAGCACTCTGTCATTAAAAATTCAAGTGGCTGAATGAGACGCCGCTCCACACTTTTACCCTGAATTGCTTTTGGCAGTTAAAAAGCACACGAGTCCATTTCAAAAGGGGGGTCGCTCCGTAAAGATTGTAGAGCAGCTAAACAGTTGAGTGAGAGATGAAGCGACAGAAAGGAGAAAAAACTTTACACTTTTTTTTTCATTTGTCACACATTCCTACTGGTGTGTCATTTACTATCCTCTCACAGCTGCAGCTGCTTTACTGCGATGCAGAAATGTTCAAATGTGACCGATGAAGTCACTTTATGAGAGGATGTTGTGCGTTCAAACTATGCACTTAACAAATGTTATGGTGAAATTTATCAACTGGTTCCATTTGAAACAGTTTACTTCAGTAGATTTGCAGATTTATGCAATTCAGAAACGCAGGTATGCACTTAATGTAAACAAATAACTGAATCCACTAGGGGTGTAAGAAAATATCGATACACGGAAATATCGCGATATTTCATTTCCCGATATTGTATTGATATTCTAAAACTCTGTATGATTTTTTTTATTAAGGTTTAAAATGACAACTTTCCTGCCAGACGTTCATTTTTATCTTGTAGTTCAGCCTCTGACAACTAGTTGGCAGCAGTGAGCCAGCCATTTGGCTCCTCTACCTCTTAAGTGTCAGAGAGTAAGAGAGCATTAGCATTGTGAGTAAACATTAGCTTCATGCTCCGATAGCTGAATCTGAGCAGAAAAGACCGACACCCTCTGCCTTCCAAGCTGAGGTAAGGTTACAAACAGTTACTTATTTGTCAGAATGTCTGTATTTTAAGACAAATTAAGTGTCTTGTGTGTTTTTTTTCCAACTGTAGTCAGCTTTCACGTTACGTATTGCGCATGCGTCTATCACCTCGAGAGAGCTCGGCACTCCCCCCGTGACATAAAACTCTGTCTGTTGCTCTCAATGTCCGGCTGATGATCGCATCAAAGTCCATGTACTTTATCCTGCTGTGTTCGCATCAAAAACTGTTTAACTCGTTTAGCTTCTCAATTTCTTAACTGGTTTTCTTCGGGACCTGCCCTGCTGTTCGACCCACAGTTATGTAAATCAGGTTCTGGATGCAGGTCAGCTGATCCCAGAAAATCTGTGTGCAGCAGCTTCATATCATCTGTTTACTGAACTTTATGACAACATAAAGACTATTGTTAAAGTGTTGGGTGACCATATTGTTAATTAATATCAAAAACTAAAAGCTGCAAAAAATATATTTTCAAACTATTTATTGGCAAATTTAGTCTAATAATTGAAAACGTGGATGAAATATGAAACAAATAAAATAAAACGTATACAAAGCAGAACACAGCTAAATGTATCAAAAGTATGTCTATGAATTAGAATTTTCTGAGACAATGAATTTTAGTTTTTCTTTTTTTTCCAGTAAAAGTTTTTTATTTAATAGAATTTTTGGACCAAAAAAATCGCAATATATCGCCTTGTTTACAGTATTGAAATATATCAGGATATATCGTTTCGTGACCCCTCTGTCATGATATGTATCGTATCGCCAAATTCTTGCCAATACACAGCCCTAGAATCCACTGAGTGATTGGGTCACTTGATTGATCTACATTTAAGCTGACAGTAGTCTGTGTTGCTATAAAAAAAAACAAGCCTAAAGTCACTGAGAAGAACTTTAGAAGAAAATATGAGTGAATCTGATGTTAAACACCACACTTCACACTGCTGCCTACAGAACTGATTTTAAGATTTTATTGTTAGTTACCTCCGCAAAGGAGTTCATGATTTCAGTCGCATTTTGAAGGAGTCGTCACTATTGCAGGATAGGAGAAATTACAGATGTTAAAGTTCTTCACACTTATTTTTCTCACCATGATAGTGTGAATATTTTGTTCAAAATTTAAACTGTAATCCTAATGTTTATTTCTTTAGAAACACTGTATGGGCACAGAATATGTCTGGTTATAGAATGATACTGAGTTATGACATTAAGTCGGTATTATTGTTCTACATGTGTTTCCTGATAAATATGTTGGAATAAATTGAAATTTTGATTTCCATCATTTATTTTTATGTATGAATACATGCAACATGATGTTACTATATTTAGTATAAAGCATTGGATAGGTCACTTTTCCAAGGGGATTCTTTTAGCATAATTGACCCTATGGCCTTGGCGGAGGTTTGCGCTCTCCGAGTGCTTCTAGTTTTTAAAGCTTTAAATAGCCTAGATCAGGGGTCTTCAACCTGCGGCTCTGGGGCCACAAAAGGCTCTTTGGTCCCTCTACAGTGGCTCTTTGAAAATGTGACCAAACATAACAGAATAACTTTTTTTGGTTTTTATACCCACAACAGAAATCAATTTGGAAGCAAATACGTGATCAATACTAATACAAAAAGTAAAACATGTTAGCTTATGCTAGCCTGTTGTTTACTTAAATAATCCAACTTTTGCCTTTCTTTCAAATCCATCAGAATTACCTTTAAAGAATATTAAAAACTACATAATAAGAATTAGAAAAAAAATAAGCCTGAATAATTCAGTTGTACTTATTTTTTTATGAAATTAGCTATAAACTATATAAAGTATTTTTCTTGTTTACATGAATATACTGTAGTCTTTTTATTTGTCCTGATGGGTAAAAGTAATAATAAAAAATAAAATTTGCAATATATTTTTTAGTTTTATAACGTCACCCCCACTGGCCGTAAAACTTCCCGAAAAGGCCTTGAAAAGGCCCACGGACCACCAGTTGATAATCACGGTCGTAGCTTATTTTGCAGCTCTGGACTCATTTTATTGCTGTGTCAGTAGCAGAAGTGGCTCTTTTGATTGTAAAGGTTGCAGACTCCTGGCCTAGAGCCAGCTTGTCTTCAAGATCTTTTGCATCTTCATTCCATTGAGGTCAAACAACCAGATGCTTCTAAATGTTTCAAGATCCAGACTGTTGCTGCTCCCCATCTATAAAACTCGGAAAACTTCAAAGTGCTTCTCAAGACTCACTTTTATTCAATGGCATTTAATAAAAGTGAGACCTGACATTGTAATTGTAATTTATGTGTTTTTACCGTTGTTGGTTATAATTTATTATGCATTTTTTAAAAAGCCCTTTATAAATAAAATTGAAATTGACATTAAACACACAAAGAATGAGTTACACAACTGTGAAAACTTAATATGTATCAAGCAGGGCAGCAACTCTCTAAAACATTCAAACACACTGGTTTTATAGAAAAACAGGCAGTGGGCATCAGTCACAAGTTTTACTTTAATTGTTTAAATTGGGGTCATTAACCATCAATTTGAGGAAAAAAAGAACTTGTTCGATTTTGTTTCTTATTTCATGATTTGTTTTAAATGCATTTGCAACCTTTAATGCATTTTATTACAAAAGATCAGCTGCAAACACAATCACGCTCTTTTATTAAACCTTTCATGCCTTATTTTTCTCTAACTGAGCGCTAATTGAAGTGCGCGCGCGCGGGAGAGTCAGGGCTGTCAGAAGAGGCTGTTTGGAGTCTGCATTCGGGGATTGCCTGCACCTTTGCAGCGCGCGCGCGCGTGTGTGTGTTTGTGAATGTGTGCATAACGAGTCTATATTTGAGAGAGTGAACAGAGACTGAGCGCATTTCTGACACGGAGCTCGGTTTGTCAAAAGCCCCACTTTGCGGCTGAACATCTGGATCGTGACGCGTCCCTCCAATCATTAACCAATTAGGAACGCTGGTTATTTATAATATTTATTTTTGGACTGAAAGGTATTTTTTAATTTTTTTTTCTTCACAATCCTGCAGATCCTTCAGCTCGTCGTCTCTGTCAGGAGATGATGTGTGGAGCTCGAGGACGGAGTGCGTCAACTGAGCGCGCGCACAGCATCCAACAAGTGGACGCATGACTTCTCTGGCTGCAGACGACCCACTGGAGAAGAAACACACGCGTTAAGGCGATTTGTAACCTATAATTTAGTGCGGATCGGGGGGGGGGGGGGGGATGTCCCCCTCCTGAGGAGCTCAGATGTGGAGATATCGGAGCTGCTGAGGGTGGAGGATCGGATCGTTTGTGCGCATCGTGTCTGTTTGGTGTCACGCTTGTTTTAGAGGCTGATTTGTGTTGTAGAACTGAACTGCAATGAGGTAAGACACCCCCACACACCTTTCTAACCCTCCTCTTGATTCACGGACCCTAAAAGGAAGATCAAGGCTGCGGAAGCCTCCAGCCCCTGCATGCCCTCCATCCATGGACTCGGCTCTCCGTTCCCTCGGTGACCGCGGGGGGAAGTTGGGCTTTCCTCTGTAGGCATTTGTTTTGTTCATGACGAGGGCGCAGGTGGAAGCCACAGCTCGAAGTCATCATGCCGATGCACCCAGTCACCTCCACGCTGATGTACCGGGGCATGTGCACCATCCCCGACATCCTGTCCTACAGCGCCCCGGTGAATCTGCCCGAAGACGAGGTTGAAGGTGAGCGCGCACCTGTTCACTCAGTCCCGGCGGGGCTCAGGGCTTGTCAGCTCACATGTGGGGGGGCTGTGAGGGTCCTGACAGGTCGGTGCGGTGGCTGTGATCCGCTCCTGTCCAGCTGACGCACAGTCTGGACCATGGAGAGCGCACAGCAAAGGGGCTGCTGCCAACATATACATTTTAATCTCTATCTTGATTTGTCTATTCTGATCTTTATAAATGAGATGCTAAAGAAAAAAAAATCAATGTTTTTGTGAATTTTAGTTCGATTTCCCGTAAGCTTTACATAAAGGTTTACATCCAGAGAGTCACATTAAAAAAATACAGAATTTTTATAACAAGTTGCTTCTGTTGACAGCAGTGACTCATTAAACCTGCCATGGGCAAACTCTCAGTGTTAAAATAACACTAGAGGGTGTCTATATGTGTCCAGTCTTTAGAGTGATAAAATAACACATTCAGATTGTGTGTTTTTTTACAAATAGCAAGAAAAGTACAGTAGATGAGAACAAATCTGCACAAATGTGAGAACAAATCAAGAACAAGCCTTCGTTCAACTAAAACTAATGTTAAAATATGATACTTTGAAAAGTGGACACTCTGTTATTCTAACATCTTCATAAGTTTAGTTTCATCATCTACTGAACTCTTTCTGTCACAGCTGCAAATCAAGTCAACCAACATCTGCATCAAATTTTATTTAAAAAGTCATCTTAACCATCAGTTATTACACAGTAATAACTGATGAGCAAGAAGAAACCATTTCTACAACCAGCCGAGCATTTTATTTTAATTATTAAACAGGTTCACTCCTGAAGGACTTGTTATATTTACCTGCATCATCCCCACCAAAAAACACTGAAGCTCCACGGTCCCAAACAAACCAGAGGCTCCGTCTCTCATCCTCGTTACCTTCAAACACACGAGGGTTGTTTTTTTTTTTTGGTAGTTTTGACTGGAGTGATGAACAAACACAGAGACTCTGATTAAAATGTGTAGTTTCTCTTTATTTTTAGATGTTTTGTCTGCAGGTGGTGCAGAGTTTTTAATTTGTTTCCGAGTTTTTTTCTTCTTTTGTCTCACACGCAGCACTTTGCATCTAAAATCTTAAAGACACACACGTTCCTAATAGGAAGAGGGGAAAAAAATGCTCGGAGCTGTCGCTGATATTATTTAGAAATCTAAGTAGAAGTGGCAAAATATAAATTGCTTTAACTCCCAAAAGGTGTTGAGAGTTTGAGTGATTCTGACACGTTTTACACTACAGTAGGTTCAGAAAATAGGACGACTTTTCCAGAAATTGAACAGGTTGTTAGAATAAACGGGAGCTGCTCTTTATTCACCTGCTAACATAAAGGTTTTTCTTATTAGAAATTAAATGATGCATTTGTTTTCTTTCATACTCTCCCCACTGAGTGATCAAAGGAAGATGGTGACATGTCAGTGACGTTTGTTGTCATGTTGTTCAGTGCTAAGCCTCTTTGTGTGTGTTTTTGACAAACATATCTGGTGTAACCAAGGGCCTTCATGCAGACGGACCTGTTTTCTGTCATTTATCTTGACACCAGGAGAAGCCTTTGCTTACTGAAAATGAGAAATCTCCTTTTCTTTCCCCATTTCATTTACAATCAGCAAAGCAATTAACAGATTCATCCTAACATTAATTAATGAAATCCCCCTGTGTCTGCTGCATGCATGCCATCACAAGACAAAAGGGAGCTGTTTAGGCTTTCCCAGCTCTGCCTAAAGAGGAGGTTTGACTGAAGCGTTTGCAGAGAAGCGGTGGACACTGCAGCTGACAGGGGCTGTTTCAGCTGCTGGAGATCATTAGTGGTCCTGAGGGGGAGAAGGCTCACAGGTTGGGAAAGAAGAAGGGCTTTCAAGATAAAGTCACGGAGGACGTTGCTGTCTGCAATCAGAACACAACTAAGAATTTTAAATCGTTTCTTGCAAGAGAGCAAGACGCGGGAGAGAAAAACGTAACAAAAGCAGCCATTTGGTTGGTTAATAGGTGACGACGTTTGTGCTTTTGATACCTTGTTTTTGTTGCTTATAGAGACAAAATGTTGCTTTTATTTTTTCAGCCATTCAAATTCAGAGGAAAGATGTTATTGTGTTTTAAACTAAAATCATTTTATGTTAAAATTGACAGAGTTAGAACTGTTTATAGTCAAACCTTAAACAAACCAATCACAATCTGCTCTCCTGCATGACTGTCATTTATTCCCACATGAAACTTTAGCTCCATAGCTGTGTAACTCACTAATATGTGACAATTTTTGTGTCACAGAGATCCATGTGCAGATCTACAGTGCATGCTTATGCTGCCTCAGTTTAACTTAAAGTTAACAATTTAGTTTACAATAAAGACAAGTTAGTGTTTTCCTCCTTGATTTGTTTTAAACTAAACTTTAAGCTAAACTGAGGCAAGTACACTTCGCTGCAGCATGCAGAACGGGGCGGTGACGGACCTTTCCGTCAGTCCCATACCTTATATGGAAATGGGACTATTGCATTCCGAAAATGAAGGGGGCGCTAGTTGACACTATTTTCTATCGAACACTTTCAACATTAAAAATACAAATTTAACATTTCCCGTACCAACCGTGTTATAATAATTATAATAATATTAACGGGTTAGGGTTAGGGTGTACTTGAACGTGAGTAGAAGAAACTCTCTAACTTCTTCCTTTGCTCTCTTAATCCCGCGTCTTTAAGGAGCAACCTTCATTTTCCGGAATGCAATAGTCCCATTTCCATATAAGGTATGGGACTGACAGAAAAGTCCGTCCCCGCCCCATTCTGCATGCTGCAGCGAAGTGTACCTCAACTGAGGCAGCACAAGCATGCACAGGTGATCTGCACATGGATCCTGCTCCTTCCTGTCTGTTGACCAATAGGAGAGGGGCTGCCCCGAGAAGCCCCGCCTACATTATTTGCCTAATGAGACAGAAATACACAAGGTAAAGTAAAAACAGGAGACAGAAAAATGTAGGTCGGTCGGTCGGTCGGTCGGTAGGTAGATCTTTATTTGCCATTTGCGCACACACATTGGAAATCTTGTGCAGGTCTCTCTCAGTCAACAGTTTAGATGATAGAACATTTATGATAAAAAAACATTACAAGGTCTAAAATATATATATAAGCACAAAAAGAAAAAAAATTTAAACAATAAAAAGAATAAAATATTTAAACACAAAAGAGGGTGGGGCACAATAGCAGCACAATATTAATGACAACACAAGGAAATAAAAAGACTTGTGGGAAAAATTATAAAAAAATTCAATATAATTATTTAAGAGACACACATGCATGTACAAGTGAAAGGGAAAACAAAAAATATATTTATAAAAACAGTAAAATTTAAATTATATACTTTATTGGAATGAAACTGGAAAAATAAATTTGAAATTATTAAATATGAGGTAAAGTTCTCCTTTTTTATTTTAATTTGTGCATTTATTTATTTATTGGTCCATTTATATACTTCTACTTTTCAGTTTTAGTCCTCCATAAGTTTAGCTGTAGCAGCCATGTTTCATTTAATCAAAACCTACGGTTATTTTTACTGTTTATTAATTTGACAATTCATGACTTTCTTTATTTTATGAGTTTTTCTAGAAGAGCCTCTTGAGCTGATGGCATCTTACACAAAACACACATCTTCTTTGAGTCTTAAAAAGTATTAGGTGCCCAGAATTTCCCAGTTTTCAGTTTTGAATGTTACAGCAGAAAGTTCAACAGCAGACTCTTTTAAGCATATGGTTTATTTAAAAAATTGTTTAAGTTTTGTTGAAACAACAGAAAGATTCAGATCTTATTTTGATGCAGGTCACGCAGAGAAATCTAGTGACTGGTAACCAGAAATATAAAAAAAACTGCAAAAGTGGAGGAATGATGGTGTTTCAGAATAACAGTAATTCTTTCTGAACTTCAACAAAAATACCAAATGTTTGTGGAAATGATCAGGATAACAGGAGAGTTAACAGAAAACCAGAGTCACCTGTAAATGTTATGTGTTTGCAGATTGCCTCATTTTGTTGTTCTCTGACAAAAAAATAATCAGGTTTTTTTCTGCTTGCAGGGAATTTGACAAAAGCAAATGAAAGCTCTCGAGGAAAACCAGTATTTCAGTGAATGACTTTAAAACAAGCAACATAATTAACTATTTGTTAGAAATCATGTACCAGATATACGGTTTTATTTATTAAAGTAGACACATCCTGCATTTAAATCCTTCCTTTTCACATTTAAATCATTCAGGAGTCTTTATGCTTTGGTCCGATTTCCTCCTTATTCTAACTTTACCAACTCCTCTTTTACTACTTTTCTGCTGTGTGTCTCAAAGCAGCTGGATTTGTTACTGTTCCTTTAAGACACTTCAAGCCCCGCCCCCCCTCCAGCTTCCAGACCGGTCCACTCCGGTTTGAGAGAGGAGGTTACATTTTCTACCTGTGCAGAAACGTTTATGAATTAAAAGATGTCAACAAGACTTGTTCATCCAACTTTACATGTTGGAGCCAGAGTCTGACCCAGAACCAGAGTCTGACCCAGAAGAGAATTAAATGAGGAAATTGTAGTTGGTAAGTCCAGACTTATATGGGAATTCTGTTGCCGATTATTTGACATCAAAGTTCAGAAAACATCATAGAAAACAGAAAACCGGACAGGCTGAACAATCTGACCCAAACAGAATATAAAGATATCTTTGCAGCACCTGGAGAGACTAAATTAAACTTTTCTGCACTTCTAGAGACTCCAAGTACAACAAAATGTACTTAACAGCTAAGAAAGTGGATTTTGCATGATATGTCCCCAGAAAACAAGAAAAAACTCAATCTTCCATTAAAATACTTACTGTAACTTTACCTGGGCAGGTAAACCAAACATAAACCAACACACAGATTTACATTATGCTCCTGTTGCTTCCCAGCTGCTGCCTATACACTGATATCCTCTAAACTTTTATAAATACAACCTCTTTCATCAGATTCTGGCTG